TTTCTTAAAGTTGCATTAGCCGGGTTTTGAACCCTGATCTCCCACATGAAAACCCATGACATAGACCATTAGACCAATGGAGTTGTAGCAGAAGGTGGTGCCAGGGGTTGGTTTGTATGTGTGCAGAAAGAGGCCACATTGCCAATACAATTATTGACACTAAACTGCATAATATTACAACAATAGAGCAGTATTAAGACAACATTATAGTAAAACATCAAAATACAATCATATTAGTACTGTAAACACTAAACTACTGAGTTGAAATATTAGACTATGGTGCAGTACCAAGTTGAGTGCAGCATGGGGCAGTATTGGACCAATACAAGGCTCCATTGACTGCCATTATAATTCATTAAACATTTAAAATTTCATAAACTATAAATTTTACAGGCACCAAAAGGCATAGCCATCATTTGGCACAGGAGCTTTGCAGATATAAATTACAATGGCAGCTCTAGGACAAAGTATGCAGGAAGAGAAGCATGGGAAAGTTGAGATGACTTGGATGGGAAACGAATCACAATAGTGTGCATTGCATTGGCAATGCACACTGAATATTTCCCAATTGCCAGAAAAACTACAGTAATTATGACTTATAATCCTGCTCCATGTTCTCCATTTGTTTTGAAGACACTGAAAAATTTATGCATCTGAAAACTTATCAAGAAATAGTTATTAATGTTGTAGGTCATGTCAGACTTGAACATTTCATGCTCCCAATTTAAGCCATAAAAATGACATCACGTTAAAAATATCTTGTTAGTTGAATAAACAGTATTATTATTTTTATTATTTTTTATTGATTTATGACTGATACAATCAATGATGTAATGCTATTCAAAAATCCAAGTATTGGTATGGAAAAAAAATGGTGTTTTTTGAGAGCTTGAAACAGCACAGGAAACCAACCCATTTCTCAGACTTCAGCCTTTATTTGCAGACATATAAAGCCGATCCCATCACTGTGGACCTTTTCATCCAGAGTCTCCCTCTGGCTCGAAGTCTCAACAAAACACATTTTGCGTCCTTCATCATTACACAGTGTCTTCAGGACTGAGTCACGCCTCCTGAAAATGACATCACTGAAGGAGGGGGATGACCTCACTTAACAAGGGACAGTTTTATTTTTACTAAGGACATCTTAAATGTAGGAAACATTATGTATCTGATTGTATTGTGTCAGTTTTACCAGTCAGTGTTAGGTGTGTTGTTCTCACAACGGTCTTAATCACAGTATAACAATAACCTGATTGCACATTGATTATAAAAAAACTCTTAACATCTTAAGCATAAGAAAGTATATTTGAAATGCATTTAAGACTCAATATAAATCAATGCATTTTTTACAAAATAAACAGAAAGAGAGAATATGTTTTTTTCTGCAATTGTGTTTTAATATTTGCTTCATTTCTTCATTTATTTAATTTTCAGCTTTCTGTCTCACTCATGTGTTTCTACTTTAGCCTCCTTGACTATCAGATTGATGCATATAAATATATATTTTACCACACAGGTAACTTCCCTCCTGCAGATGCACCTGCTTCTTCTTAGCTTCCTGCCTTCTGTCTCGCATCTCCCCGTCTCTCTTCTTATAGGACTATATTCTCATTTCACTGTCTCCTTTTGCTGCAAACCAATGACATGTGACACGTGGCAATTTCCTTTAGCTGATGACAAAAAATGTGCCAATTACCTCTCTGGATGTTTCGCTGCCAATCAGATGCTAACGAGCTGTGAGAGCGTGTGGTTGTACAGGTGTGTGTGTGAGAGTCTGTTGGCATTACTGTGTAAGATATTATCTTCAGCGGTTGTGGTTGTGTAGAATTTGTTGCAGATTTATCCTTTCACTTCTGCTTTTGTACATAATTAAAAAAAAAGATCAGACCGTTGCTCACTTTTTCCTCTTGCGCACAAGTTTTCTTGTCACCCTCTCTTCATCCCACCCCTCCATCTGCACTGAAAAGCTCTTTTGTTCAATTTTTAATTACCTTTCTCTACAAAAGTGCTTCTGACATCCGAACGCAGCACGTTTTGGAAAGGCTGCCTCTGTGATTGGTGAAAATTGGATAACTACCTCTTTGTATTTACTGTCAATCACTTTTCTCCTATTAAAAAAAAAGAAAACTAGAAATAATTTTAAGGCTTTCACCAATGCTTTCTTTTTCAGCACCAACTGATGCGAGCACTGAAAAAAGAAAATATTTATTGTGCCAAAAAAGAAAGAAAAATCTTTTTGTTTCTCTTGTTTGCATCATTTAATTTGTTCAGTTCGGGACTTCTTCTTTTTTTTTTTAGCTTGAGAACAAAAGGCACACAGAGTGACAATAAGATCACTGTCAAATCTTTGTTCTCTAAACTTTGTTCTGGATCTTTCTTTCTGCTAGAATTTTTTTCACTTCAGTATTAAAGATTTATGCAGGAACTGGGATACAAACAATCACTAAAGCCCCTGCAGCTCTTTCGTCTGTTTTGGTTAAACCTTCCGAACAACATGTGCAATCTCATGCTCAGAGTATGTGATGAGGATGACTCCCAGCTACTACCACTCACACTAATTTTAGCTCAATGTGTTGTCAGAGTTATCACCAATTTTAGGTTGGCTCTTATTGTCAGAAGTTAATCAGCTACAGTCAGTGATTTTTTTTTCTTTGTTTTAAAAATATTTTGCTAACAGATCGATAGCTTCTTCAATACTGTTTATTCACACTGACATTTTGCTAAAGCTACAGACAAACAAATGCAAACAGGTTTATCACCAGTCTGCGATGATGAATGCATGTAGTCCTTCATTAAATCTTATGATGCTAATCTATTGTTGTTTATCATGATTGTATCCATCATTAGGTTGAGCTAAAGACACTGTATGTTTGAACTAGAAGCTGCAGGTCATAAGGTTGATGCTTGATCTCTGCCCCTGTCATGAAAGTCTCAGCAGTTTAAGTGTCAGAACAGATTAGCTGGAAGGTAATGAGAACAGAGGGAGACTCAACAGCTCCTTACTAAAATGACTAATCATGAGCTGCCAGCATGAAAGGTGGGCGAACATGTTTAGTCTGTGTGTGCTTGTGTTTCTTTGTCTGTTAGCAAAATATATTTTGATCCACTAGAAATGGACTGAACTTTCATAAACTATTTAATAAATGTACAGTAATCGAAAGTCAGGCCAAATCCTTTCTCTGGGGATAATAGGTTGTGTCCAAATTCAGGGGCTGCATTCTTTGAAGGCTGAAATTGTTAGCCGCTTATGTGACTGTGCCACACTGAAGTCTGTCCAAATTTTGAGACTCCTCCAATTGTGGCCCACAAATGAATCCTTTTACTCCAATTTCAGGGATGGGCTCGGTGGATGCTTCTCGGCTCAGCTTATCCCAAGATGCATTGCTGGCCAACAGGAGATTTATTTATTTATTTATTTATTTATTTATTTATTTATTTATTTATTTATTTATTTATGCTTGTTAGTGTGGTAGTAGCTGAAAGTTATCACCAACACATACTCCAAGCACCAAGAGATCATGTCAGATCATTGCTGAGAACTCAGGCATATAATGCAACGGTGTTTTACTTGAAGCATTAAGGTTTCTGGCACAGCAAAGTAGCAATAGTTAAAATATTTTTAATCTATATTTGCTATCAACAGGCTGCAATTAGTTTTTTTGCAGTCATTCTGATTCTAGCTGAGTTTCATTTGACTTTGCCGAAAGCATCCACTGTAAATCTTCTGTTTTATGTAAAAACCTACTTTTTAAACCCAAAAGTCAGGGTGACTGACAGTTTATTGCACCTTCAAACAGTGCTATATAATCCACGCAGCATTTAGTTGGATAAAAATCAAATAAGCGAGAGCTTTAGTTTCAGTTAGCAGACAGCTCGTGATGGAACAGTATCCCTCCCGGCTCCATGAAATCGATTAGGCCGTTACATGTTTATGAAGGAAGAAACTCGTAAAAAAGCAAATCTGAAGAGAAAATGCATTTAGATTTTTTTGAAGTTTACTGTAAAGCTTTGCTCCTGCGAAATTCACACCCAGTGTTTGTGCAGATAGAAGTTTGTTCTGCGCTGCTTCATCTGGGCCTTGGTTTGAGAAGATAAGTGTGAAGTAATTGTAAGTAGTGACAATATTTATTTCTCAGGCTTGTCAGTGTGCCCCCCCACTGAATAAGCGGTGTTATTTCTGTCATCTCAAACTAAAACACACAGTGGTGCATACTGGTGCATCGTCAAACTTCAGTCATTCTTCTCTTTTAAGACTTCTACCAATGCTGGGCTTGCATTGGCTGTTTTGTCTCAGCAGGACTCATATCAGGTGATTGCCCCACTTTTAGAGATCCTTTATCTCTCCTGAGGAAAATCCTTTAAAAACATCTCGCTTATCTTTGCCTCCACACAGGAAGTTAGCTCTTTGCCAGGCGTTTTCATCACCGAACGGCCTCTTTTGAAGAATAGGACCAGGAAATATTTTTGAATCAAAGCAACAGCACAGTGTGAGATGGCACGTGTAGTTTCTTTTAAGAAAACTGAACCTTTACACTTTTTATAGGGGGAAAAAAGGCTGATATTTGGATGAATTACTGTAAAATATTGGTTTTAAATGATCTGATGTTCTGTGATGGAACCAGGAGTTTAATATCAAGTATGATTTGAAGAAATGGAACTAAAGGTCAGAGAGACTCTCGGCTTTCACGATTGTGGAGAGTTTTCTTTTCTCTGCTGTCTGATAGTGCTGCTTTTTTACTGTAGTGCTTTGTTCTAGGGGAGAATAAAAAGAGCATGATAGCTATTGACTTTTTGTAGCAGGACCTCAGGGACGTAAACAACTGTGCTCCGATCCAGGTCTTCACTGTTATATGAGAAATTCTACAAAAACAAGAAAAACTATAACATTTTTATGTTTGAAACATTTATTTAATGTGGTCAAAATTTTATTTGCCATGTCTTCTTCTGTTTTTAGTGTTTTTGATTGTTCCTTTTTCCACATCTTCCTCTGTTTTCCTCAGGTGGAGTGGTTGAAGAATGAAGACATTATTGATCCCGCAGATGACAGAAACTTCTACATCACCATCGATCACAACCTGATAATCAAACAGGCCCGCCTCTCCGACACAGCCAACTACACCTGCGTGGCTAAAAACATCGTAGCCAAAAGGCGTAGCACCACGGCCACGGTTATTGTCTACGGTAAATCTCATAACTTTTTATTGAAGCATTTCTCAGGCAGTTTAATGCAGTTCAAAGTTTTTAAAGTGTATCTTATCCCCCATGTGAAAGGATAACTCCGCCCCAAGGCAAAATTTAAAAAATGCCAACAATGGGCTGTTCAGGAGAGAGGAGGGGGC